TATATATATATACACATATATATATATATGACAGGTTTGTCGAATGTTGATTGGCTGTAGGATGGAAAAATTCTCGAGTCTAGAAATATTTTATGCTACAACCAAATAACATATGACATATCTGCAAAACATATCATACGACAATCGCCCGTATTTAGAACGGAATTTTTATTGATAAAAGCGCGTTTTTATCTCTGAAATTCTATAGTATGTGTCACGTAAGTTAGCGCGTTAGCATGTTAGCGCGCTAACATCATTGTAAACGCGTTCTGAATATGGGCCAATATGTACGTAATAACATTCTTAGAAGAAATTTGTTCATTTTCCGACATTATACTCTATATTAAGCTTCTCACATGATTTATTCTTCCTCTTTTTCTTTTCACGTTGAAAAGAAAAAAATAAATATTTCCGTGTAGGAGGTTCAATCTGGTATTATGATTTCTTTTTTTAATTAATATTCAATGTCTTTACCAGAAGAGATAGATAGATATCGTTATTTATTTAGCGCTCCAGACAATGTCTCACATTTGTTAACGATGTCTATAACTGTTACAATCTTGTTTTTTTGATGAAAAAACTGGATTTCTGGTTATATCCTTGATGCAAAATCTGGAAATTAAGTGTTCGAGCTAACCATTCTTATTTTAAATAATGGACACTCTGAAAATAATCTTCTAAAGGATAAACTTGTAGAATCCGTACAACGAGCGTTTTTTCACGTTAATGTTACCTAAATGACAAGATTCGATTACCACAAATTTGTAAATTGTCAAATTGTTTGTAATAACAGCTTATATACTAACAAGATTCGAATTTCATGATTTAAATTATTAATAAAATGAACAGATAGTAAAATGAACGATAACATATTGTTGTAAACTATTTTATTGGGAATACAAATAAGTTTCCGCCGTTTGCAAAAAATGGCGCCACTAATAAACTATAGTTAAAATTGTTTGATATAAAACGACATATCGTAAGATTGGACATCCGGCACCATAACCTTGAAATTAGCGATTTTGTATCAGCATCATATATTTTTTTTTGTACGAAAATGTCGAGTTTTAAGCCGAATAAGCGTCATTTGCGGGAATTTTTGATTTAAAGAAATCTGCAGCTGAGACTCATAGATTGCTTGTAGAAGTATATAGTGATGCTGTCTTAAGAGAGAGAAGTTGTCGTGAGTGGTTTGAAAAATTTAAAAACGGTGAATTTAACGTCGAAGACAAAGAACGTAGCGGAAGGCCGAAAGTGTACGAAGACGCGGAATTGAAAGCATTATTGGATGAAGATTCGTGCCAAACGCAAAAAGAATTTGCACTTACATTAGGAATGACTCAACAAACAATTTCATATTGTTTGAAATCATTGGG